ATTAGAAGACTGTGCTAAATAGTCAAAGATGTATTAAACGACCTGTCTTTATCTCGATAATAGTCATTAGTATAATAATAGTAGGCCTAATGCTATATTAGAATACATAGTTACACATTGACATGTCCTTACCCAGTTTCCTTGTGTATTCACCGCCATGAAAAAAATTAGCACCCGTGTTAAAATTCTGTTTTCATGTAGTACCTAAGTCATAAAATGATTTACCGGCCTAGGACCTTAGATATTTACTGTACTTTCACGATTCCTGTTGCTTCGGAGGTAGGCCTACAATGAAAATGTGGATGATTGATTAATGGTTGGTACAATGGTAGCCCATGTTGTTTCTACGTTTACTTCCGTAAACATCGTGTATCTAGGGTGCTTATAAATATTTATGAACCCTTCTCATGCAGCCAATCAAATATCAGAACAAGTCAAGTTACATCCTTACGCGTTCGATGGTGGCGGGCTCTTTGAAAAAAGAACACCGCCACTCTATCCGAAAAAGTAGAGCAGACGATTAAGAAGCTAGGCCTTGCCTACGACGTGCTCGTAGAATTTCTTCAGCTTCCCCGATTATGTTACTGTAAAATTTATTGGTAAGATTAAGTAAACGATTACCAGGTCATTTTTTAAAAATTAAAGTTATAACTGCTAGCCTAGACGAACGTGTTTTAGGTAGCTAGGCCTAGGTCTAGCGTAGGCCCAGACAGAGAGAGTGCAGCATAAGCCTAGGCTAACCTAATTCGTAGTATGAGTCAAGGCCTACCTAGGCCTAGTATGAGCCTTTCCTAGGCCTAACCAGGCTACAACAGCAGGCCTCTCTCTCGAATACCCTCTCTCTCTAGCTAGGTCTAGGCTAGAGTAGGTATTGGTAGGCCTAGGAGGTACAGAGAGTATAGGCTAGACCCCTTTTAAGGCCCCATTCCCGGCAAAATTTCAGTTGTTAAGAAAAATCTAATTTTTGTATTTAATGTTATAAAGATTTATAAATATAATACGGAATTGCTAGTTTAACGGAATTTAGACATTCCTAAGAATGAAAAAAATGTGAAATAAGACTGAAATTTAATTTTTTTTGTGTTCCACACAAAAAATATATGAAGAAATATTGTAGGTGCCGAAAACATTATCCTATCCAATGCTGCTAGGCTAGGCCTAGCCTTACCTCGATTTAGGTTCTGTTATCACACATAAAAACGGCCGACATGATATTTTCCGTTGCTAGTAATTACACTTGTGAAATATAATATTTCATAGGAATTATTTCAAATTTGTTAAAAAACTGATTCTGATTGAGATTTTGACACTTAAACAAACATATCTCAGCCCTAATCGAACGACCGCATTGTGCGAGATCCGAAGTACAAAAACTAATCTCATTAGAGAGGGCGCACTTTATTGACTATAAAGTATACATAAAAGCGAGAGTATTCCAGTGGATGTGATCTACAACCTCTGAATTTGCCTAGTAACGATGAATTCGTCGAGAAAATGGTAATATTTTACTAGATGTGTATAAGAGACAGTATTTTATGAGAAATAGTCTGTATTTCTCATTTTTTTTATTCTTTTGCGTAAACCTAAAATTCATGCCAATATTTTTCCATGATTTATAATAATTGGAGTAATGCAAATGCATATTTTCTATAAAAAAAAATAAATCAGTTTTTAGTGAAATTTTGCCGGGAATGGTGCTTTAACATTATATAGGCGTTGGCCCTAGGCCTACATTGATTGAAAGGGGTCTACAGTATATAGTATCAAGGTTTTGCTGACTTCAATTTTTTGTTATCATCAGATATTGTCTTGATTGATTTGAAAGGGAAATGTTTAACAACAAAGTTAGCCGCAAAGAACTGTTCACGTCAAATCCTGGGTAAGTATAATAAGGCCTACCCCATGTTTTGGCATGTTGATGTTTTTTTGCAAAAAATATAACAGAAAATGGTAATTTTTATAATGAAGCTGATTTATGGTTGTAACATTAACAAATATACCAGACTTTTTATGTTAACTTTGCTTTCAGGCAAGTTTTTCAGCAGCAATTTTCGAGTAAGGATTTCAATGACTCAGCATTCATGTCAAGTGAAAACCTGAGTGATCCCAGTTCTCAGATTGAAAACTCTCAAGGCTCATATGATATGTACTCTCAGAGGTTTTCACAATCATGTTCCCAGCCCTCTGAGGTAAGTATACCATTAATCTTTGTCCCATTGTAGCATATATAGTATAGAGTACCACAGCCGTGTCGTTACAACGCCAGGTGGCACTCTCTGTTGTCAACAGACGTTGGTTACCGTACATTACGCCTGAATGACTTCATAGGCTTTCTTGAATAACCATTTTAAAATCTAATATTTTACCATCAAAATTTACTAAAAACACAAAAGCTCGCATTATATTAGTTATCGAACACACATTTAATCATCAATTAAAATTTACAAAGAAAAAGTAAGATACAACATCTTAATAATTACGTTAGAAATTGGGATCAGTGGTTTGTCAGCAGAAAAAAATGGCATCCGGTTGAATGCATTTTGCAACGATAGAAACTTAGTAGTATCACATGGTATTGTGATGTAACACTGTAGTACTATACCATGGTCATCCGGAAGTGCTAAGACAACTGCACTCCCAAATCGTAATATGCAAAGTATTGATATGATGATAATTAAATAATTGGATATGGTTATACCTCTCATGCATTATTTATATACTGTAGAAGTGACATGTGATACTGTACATATTACATGCCATAAACCGAGATTTCATCGCAAAATGACAAAGTCAATAAAACATATCACGTGACATTGATTATTTAAGTATAGCCGTTATTAATTTTTTTCAGCTGAAAACCCAAATATATTTACTAGCATATAAAGACTTCAAGATGTGGGTCCTTTCTACAGTCTTTAGGGTCATATTAGAGCTCTGAGTGGCCCAGGTTTTATCTTATTTATTCTATTAAACTAGGATAAAATTAAAATACAATTTGGTAAAGTATACATTCACACAATCAATCCAGTTTTTCCTCTCAAACCATGATGCTCATCTGTGTGATGGTTGGTTTTGCCATCTTTTTTTTTTGTCTTTCGTGGGGATCACCCACCTTTATTTGTCCTCTTTTTTCATGATTTTCAATTTTTCGTTTCCTCTCCTATTATACAGTGATCTTGTGCTGTACCAATATTTACATACATGGGCGGCGGAACCGGGGGGGGGCCGGGGGGCCCGGGCCCCCGGTACCAGTTGGCAAAGCCCAACCATTGTTCTTTTACCTTTTTTCAGGTACTTATATCCACATTCCATCGAAAAACAATTGGCAGATTTGGGGGTCTTATACCTGAGGGCCAGTATTATATTAATGCAAACAGTATGGTCATTAGCTTGAGTCTCTTTAGACCTTCCAAAGTTTAGAACTCTCTGAAATTTGGGATGGACTTATACATGGGTAGATAATTTGGTGCCATCTTTTTTTTTTTGTCTTTCGTGGGGATCACCCACCTTTATTTGTCCTCTTTTTTCATGATTTTCAATTTTTCGTTTCCTCTCCTATTATACAGTGATCTTGTGCTGTACCAATATTTACATATGCGTTCACAATTCAAAACAATTTTGTATTTATACATTTATGCAATTTCTAAACAAATTTAAAAGAAAAATTAATTGAATTACATAAGCATACTTTTTTTTAAGTGGGAGAAAATTGCACATTTCCCTTAATTCAGATGGTCTTGCTATCTTTGTACAATCTCACCAATCCCAATTTTTTATCATTAGTTGAAAATGCACACCACTAAACTTGAAGGCCATGTATCTTACTGGTAGTTAGATTGCTTCTTTCTGTATATAAAACTAAAAGTTTGGGCTCGAAAATGTTTCCTAAAGTAGGTTAAAAGAAACATCTAGATCATAAATCAGCTTATTTTCCTCTCTGACATTCACATAGAAATAATATTTAAACCTTATACAATGTTCACAGATTACATCCTTGAGAGGAAACATTCCTAATGTTAGCACTGCGGGTGTATTTTTGTATTTCTTTCAAAACTTTGATTTTTAATTATTTTATTGATGCTTTGAATGTTTAAATTTTTGGTATAAAATTTAAACATTCAACATTTTTTGTATATTTTATATGTTTTTATATATTTTTTCTTATTGTTGTTGGCAAGGGGCTTAGAGATGACCATTTGTTGTGTTGGGCTTTAGCCCATGTCATCTCTAGTCACGCCTCTGGTCAATATGTATTTACCTATATCGTGACGAATTTAAAAAAAATAAATAAATAAGGTGTAGTAATAAGCTTCATCTTCCTTTTAATTACACTTTGTTATAATGCACATTAGAAACAATATTTTATGGCACTGTAAATCGGAAAATCTTTATACTGATATTCAGAAATATTTTCTTTACTTTAACATAAGTTTGTCATTTAAAATGGTATTTTTTACATGATCTCAGGACTAATATCCAATTTTAGTTGTCACGACCATGGTTATTCAATTTTATTTAAATTATATACATCTTATGTTGGTATATTTTGCTGGTTTTTTTTTTCATTTGTAATTGCCATTTCAGTTGTTTGCTGCTGGCTTTTGATGTGTGTGAATAGGGTATATACCAAATTAAAGTAAACAACAGTAAATTTGTTAATGCTTTCTTACATCTGGCTTTTTTTTTTTTATATCAATTCATCTTACAACAATTTCTCCACAATAGTTTTTTTTTTGCTTTTATTTGCAGAATTCAAGCGAAAGGTCAAGCCAAAAGTTTTATAGAAAGTATATGTCAAAAGCTCCGCTATTCCAAAGAGATCCGACATGCAGCGTCGAAAAGCACTCTTCAAAAAAACCGTCAGATTACCTTGAGCAGTTAGAATTGAACAAACAGAGGGCAAAAGAAAAGGATAACCGGTAAATTGATGATATTTTAATGTTTTATTAACAAAACCTTTTTAAGGATGCCAGCTGAATTTTTAAACAGCATTCTCTCTTAAGACACATTTTAATGTTGAAAATCACATTCTGTAAAGATTTTTTTTAAGAAGCATGTTACAATTTGCACTAACATTTTATAGTCAGGCTCGGGAGTTAAGACATTTTTTGATATGTACTATTTAAAACTGGTGGGAAAAGGTGGAAAAAAATGTTTACGCCCCTAATTAGAATAATAAAGGTGAAAGAGATTTGTTATTTTGTGACCACAGAGAAGTGGGTCTTTAATTAGAGGGGGACCTGTATTCACATAATCTTCTAAAACACTATAAATACATTTTCATCTTTTAATTCTAGGGACCTACTGAATACATTTGTATCACTTGTTAAGGATTGTTCTGATGAAGTTAAAACAGCTGTACAGATTATTAAAGACAGTGTCAACAAGAAAGTGTCTGACAGTGCTGACCAGTCCGCCAAAATAATTGACAAACGTACGTATAGACACCTGCATTTTGAAAAATAGATTGTAACCCTGAAGTGATGCGGATATCTGTTTTTTCACTGTTCAGAGTGTAAATTATCCTGATCAATGGGAAGTATCATATACCCTCATTGGCTTCACACTACAGACACTGGTGATAAACTCAGTTTTATGAGCACTGGTGGCTCTGAATGATTTGCTATTGGCTCAGACCACACTATATATTTGTAAAAACTGAAAGGTCCACTGATTAATCTCAGATAAGATTGTATAATACATACTCCATACTTGGAGTATGTATTATACTATCTTATATATTTGTAATGTAGTGCAGTTTAATTTTATAGAGCTTTTATACTGGAGTCACAAAGTTGCTGTGACAAGTATCTGTCATTTATCTATATTCGTATGTATGAGGGTTAGAATTTCCTCAAAATACATCAGCAATTAGTTTACTTGGTTTTTGATGTTTTTTTTTTTTTTGTTTCATTATAAATACGGCAATTAAAATCTTTTACGTCATTCAGCCATTTTTTATGGAAGCGTAGGTCTGGGTTAGGCAACTCAACAGCAAAAACCTTGCTGTCTCGTCCTAGATTTATCATAGTAGTGGGATGCCCTTTCTACAGCAATTGCTGTTGGTGCTAGCTGTATGGAAATTCAAATCCTATTTAATGCTCCAGAAGTATTGTTCTATTTTCAGCTTCTTTGATGTATTTTAAATATTATTGTATTACCAGGAACACTTCCCTTATGACTATGTCTTTCATTATGAATTGCAACAATTATTGTTATTTTATATTACATTTTTAGTTAATGAAGGCCTGTCTGTGCATTATCAGCAATTATTTGAGGCTATTCAGACTAAGCAACAACTGACAACTTCAGAGCTGCAAGAGATTATAGCAACTGTGAGTGTATAGTGTTCTTCATTATTATGCTTAGTTACCAACCATCTCACATCATGCAGGACGGTCTTGCATTTCAAAGGGATTTAAGATGAAACACACATTTCGCAGAAACACATGCGTGATCCTAAATTTGTCACGCATTTAGCACAAGTCTATGCGTGATAACAAATTATCACAAACTCAGGGGAAAATGTATTTAAAATTAGGAGTCATTAGAGTACATAATTTACGTGAATACTTATTTCACTGACGCGTTACTAAAAATTGATCATTAATTAAATGTTTGTGTAAGTCTATATAGTTCGGGTGCTCAAATTAAACATACATTGAAACTCAAATTTTAGATGGCTTTATTAAAAATATTTTTTATTATGCACCTGGTATTGTCAACAAAAACTTACTGAAATCAGTTTAAAAGAGCTTAAAAATGCTCAGATTGTCTGAGCAGCAAGGACCACGCCCCCTGCCAGAGCTCCACCCCTGGACCTCCCCCCTCCCCCCTAGCCAATTGGTGTAGTCACTCACATATTTCAAATCTTTCAGGTTGATAACTATGTTATGAATATTTTATATTATGTTTTATCTTACCGTATCTCTTAGAATTATAACCTACTGTAGTATCTTAATATTAACCGGCCTTAATATTTAATAGTTAATGGCCCACTACTCTAATATTAACCTAGTAGGGTTAGTATTCAGGGATGTCACCACGCTGGTCGGCGGTGGACGGGCCCGTCCAGCACTCGACATTGGTTTTTAAGAGGTTCCACGAATAGTCGACGTTTTCCCCCCGTGAAAACGCCGACTTCAAACATTTTGCTTTACAAGTTAATCATTGTTTATGATTTGTTTCAAGTTTATACTTGGAGAAAAACAAAAATCTTTTTTTTTGTTCTGTTATCTACGAGAATTGCTTACATGAAAGTAAAGTGTGTACAGGTTATTATTTCCAGTGCTTAATAATAGCGACTTCTTACTCTATTAGTTACCCATATTATATCTGTAACCCACTCTAAAAACTAAATCACTAAATAGGATTGATGTTTTGCTCTAATAGTTACCCATACTCTATGTGTAACCCACTCCAAAAACCAAACAGTAGAATAGTGAACCACAGTTCCAATTAATACACTTGTGGTATATTATAATTGATGCAATAAAGAATTGTTTAATAAATTAAATTTTTTTTTTCACAGCGTGATGCTAAGATTGAACTTCTTGAGTCCCAGTTAGAAGTAGCACAGGAAGAAACAAATGAGAAAGTGATGGCATTTCTGAAAGAGGCTTACAATGAGCAGAAGCAACTTACAAAGTCTCAGCTTGAGCAACTTGAAAGGAATCAACAGATGACTAATGAAAAGCACATCAAAACTCTACAAGAACAGCAAGAAAGTTTCATCAAGGAAAAGAGAATCATGGAGTCTGAGTGTAAGTGCTGTGATGGCCAAGGGATGTCCAAGAATTCAGATCATGTTAGAAATGTGCCACATGCAGTCCCTGTGAACAAAGTGCAGTTAGAAGTCAACGATACTAATATACAAGTTTTAAGAGGACTAGCCTATCAATCTCAAGCAGTTTGTGCAGCATTACCAGCCACAGTCTACCAACAGAATCCAGTATCACAGACATGTTGGGCAGTACAGCCCCAACACTCTCAAACCTCAAACCACACTTTGACGAACAGCGTAAAACAACTTCATCATTTGCAGATGAATAGTAGTCAACAAAGCAGTGTGTTATTCCACCCTCAGAAACATAATACAGCTACCATACTTCCTCGACCATTGTCATCGTCTTCTCCAGAGATTGTCTCACCCATTCTGTCCGGATCAACTGGTAGATGGTTTGCAGATTCATACGTGAAGAAGCCATCGCCAGTAGCAACAGTCATCCCACTCATGAAAAGCAGGATAGAAGACGATGCTACTAGTACAGATTTTAAAGTCGATAAAGCTGTTCAAAGGAATGGTTCGATCAATTTTAGTAAGGGACAGGCAAGAAAATATAATTCAGCCAGTCTAAAAGTTGCCCCTACTAGGCAATCTGCAAGGCTACGGGCCAGTGAAGTTAACCTTCCACCAAGATCTTTAAAAGACAATATCAATATCCAAGGTCACAATCTTCCATCTATTGCCATGGAGATCAACAGAGGTTACAAGAGAAAATTTAGTACCGAAGAAAACATATGTAACAAAAGGCAGGTAGGACCAAAAGGCCTCCAATCTGAAAGAAATTCTGATGCTAGAAAGCCAAGGTGCAGAAATATTCAACAAGAAAATAATGCACCAAGCATGCAACAACCACTAAATTGTGAAAGTAAAAATTCTTTTATGGACCGAAAAAACTTGGTAAAGCATAAAGCAAAGCCCAGAAGGAAATCCCTTAAAGAGAAATGTTTACCGAGGAGTTCCTCCTACTCTGACTTACACCAGAGACCTTGTGCACCTAGCACCTATGATAACTGGAAATTGAAGAGGCATAGCAGCTTTACTATTGGTGTAGACTCAAGCTCCGATGATGATGATGATGATGATATTTTCAGTTTTGCTGATGAAAGTCCACTGCATGCAAAGTTAGGTGAGTACAGTGTGATGATTGAAAATATGAATGAACGTTAATGGTTAAATAAATCAACAGTAGATAGCCTGTTGATTAATTAAAACTTCAACATTTTCAATATAGATTATTACTTATTAATACTGTGATAGTAATAAAAATACAGTAGTAATAATTTGTATTACTGTACTCTAATATATTTTTGTCACTGTCCGCAAACATACTGCCACTAAACTGCTAATGTATGTGAGCAAACAAGGATGTCTATCTAATGTAAAAACGTGCAGTTTTCCATTATATTAAATTTACATTTTCTCCACTGTTTTGTAGGGAATTAATGTAGCTAAATAGCAAAATATTTAGATTGGGTTCATGAACTACCACCATGAAGATATTGGTTGCCTCCCTAGATAATTTGTTCACTTTATATTATGTAGTAAAATTAATATCAGTTGATCTTTTATCATATGTAGGTGAAATTACATCAAGCCGCACCATAAACCGGTATCCTGACACGGAACAAAGTTCTCAAGAAAGTGATGTCATTTCTTTAGCAGCACAACAAGAAAGTAGGTACTCTTTAAAATAAAGTTTATGTCGCCCTTGCGACTTAACTTAACTGGCGTATTTGGCAGTTGGCCGTCAAATTTGAGCAACTCTTAATTGTGCCATTTGGGGCGACAACATTTCTCTTGAGATGAAAGGGAAAAAAAGAATCGCCAGTTACTCTCAGTTGCACTCAGTTGACCATGGTCTGCGTTGTTGCGATGCAAAGCAACTGACAAGCGATTTGAATTGGTCATGTGACATCACAAGTTACTCTAATCTGCAACCCTCGAAATTGGGACGATAAGTCCTCGGCAAAAAATCGCCGACGTAAATTGCACTCGCCTCGGCACTACGTCGGCAATTTGCATTTTTTAGTGTCTCTCTAACTTATGCCCCAACTACAGCTAAAAGGATTATCTATCATCGAAACTACATCAAACAACAGCTACAGAACAAAAGCTCACTTGAAGGCCTAACATCGATCAAGTTCTAGACCTACCTATTTAACTATCTAGCAAGGGTTTGCCCTAAGCCAAGAAAGCATTTTTCCCTTCAACGCCACCGTTGAGCTTAACATGTGTTTGCTCTCTTCATTAATGACGTAATGTTTATAGTTTGTACCATTCTGAAGCAGGTAAAACAAATTGCTAACAATATTTAATTTATTTGTATATTGAAGTTTATTTCGTAAAAACGGCAATATTAAAACATATGGTATATTATAATAATAGTGTAAGTTAATCATTAATTTTACGGCTGCTTTAAAATGAACATATGTCACAGTATAGAGTACCCAGGCCGGAATCGACCAAAAATCTTCCACGCCCTCATCGTTCGCCGCCGCCTGCCACAACAACATGCTTGGACCATTGTGTTTAAAGCATGCATGAATACATCGGCTTGACTGTGGTAATTCCTGGTTTGTAAGCACGTCTTGGCGTTGTTAAACTAGTTACTTTACACGGTTAAAATAAATGTTTAATTTTAATTTACACACAATAATAAACTGAAAAATGCTAACATTCTGTGTGCATACAACATGAAATTTCTTTAGGCCACTTGCTAGGCCTATAAAAAAGGAGCCTTGGCAAATTGGTGCCGTGGTAAGCTTGCTAAGCGTCGGCAATTACCTCGGCATTGCCGAATGCCGGCGCTAATTTCGAGGGCTGAATTTGTTAACTGCATACATGACGCGCACTAATGTTGCATCCAATTATGGTAGTTGCGAGATCATAGGTGAAAGTCCACATGAGCTGTACCAGCAACTAGTTGAGATGAGTCGCAAGGGTGACATGTGGCAAAGACCAGCCAAACCAGTCACTCGTCGCAAATCGTGTTTCAGAGTTAATGGTCAAAACAACCTGGAATGTCTCAACATTTTTGAAATCTATTGTATTGCACTAAAAACTACCAGAAATGGGCTATACCAATGTGACAGTTGGGGTTGTTAATGGCTGTCTCTTATATACATCATGCTATGTTATTATTTTCTCTATTTTCAATGTTACAACAGTTTTTAATGATTTGGTAATGGTTTCTACCTGAGAAATGCCCTAAATTGAAGGATGATTTTTCAAATATTGTTCTTTAAACAGCTGTATGCTTAAACTTTTGTAACTTCATAATGAAATGTTGGATTTAAATTATTCTTTTACCATTTTATAGTTCTCATTTTACTCTTTAATTCTTTATTAATAACTAAAAATAAATTTTTGTGAGGAGTGACTGGTTTGGCTTGTCCTTGGCACATACTGTACTTTCCTTTACAATTTCCCATATATGGTTTATCAGGGATGATGATTACTATATAATAATGTACTGTATTTTTATATTAAATCATACACCAAGTGTTTATTTTGCTTGTGTGGTAAACATATTTTAACAGCTGTGTTATGCGCCATATGTTGTTTATTACAAAGAAACAGTAAAATTATAAATTTTATTGCATAGCTTATAGCATTGTAAGTTATATTCACACAATTGTTCATGTTATGGTAAAGTGCATTGGTACTAAATTTTTTTTTTCTATGATTCTAAACTGAGATGAATTTTATTAATATTCTTGATTAACATGTTTCTTTGTAATGTTGAAAATGTGACGCATTGGATTAGGGTGTAGATAAAGCTACAGAGGAAAAATAGCTGTGGAGGACAAAAGCCACTAGGGAAAAACTACCAGAAATGGGCTATACCAATGTGACAGTTGGGGTTGTTAATGGTGCCTTTTTGTCTTATTACCAGTAGATAGAATTTAGGCTTCAGATCAAGAGTTTGAGTATCCAAAGTTGACCATTTGTTTGGTGTTTGAGCAATGCGCTTTATCTGCATTTCTTCTCTCAACCTAGATAGGATAGTGAAATAGTTTTTACACAGATACAGTACTTGCAGCTTGACTGGAATGCTTTCCAGGGAGCTGAGAGTGAGATGGTGTAGCCGATGAATTTAGTGACTAGTGAACTCAGGACTGTGTTTTGTCATTACAAATGCTTGAGATAAGGGTGAATTATATTGATGTCTTTTAATACATAGTCACATCTAGAACACATAACAGGTTGTTGAACTCATACAAAAGAGAGTGAAATCAGCAGCCTCATATCAGAGATCAATTTCCAAGGTCCCAGTTGGATAGGGAATCTTCATTTGGGGGACTTTTCCCACTCTTCTTTCATTACGTTTACAATTAAAATGAATTACTTTATTTTTATATACAATAATAGTTTTAAGAAAATGTAAAAATTTAGCAACATTTGAAAGTGTTGATAATATTTTGATAATTATAGACATTGGTGTTTACTTTAGGAGGAAGTTGTAATAAGGAAAACCAGTTGCTCAGGGATTGTATAAAAAGCAATAGAAAGCGAAAGGCATTTGGAAGGGCTGAACAAGATGGTAACAGCAGTGAAAACGATGATGATGATGGGGATGATATCTTCAGTTTAGGACCTACAAATACTCAAAAAAAGTTACAAAATAACAAGGTAGGATACATTTTGCAGTGAAATGAAATAGGTTTTAAAGTGGAATTTTGTTATTTGAGAGAGAGAAACTCATATTCATATTGCAATTGTTGAGTATGTGAAAGACCAGGAGGTCTTTGACAGTAGGAAAGGAAAATAATTCATGCTTTCAGTTCCCTTGTAAGTTAGAGTGAACATTAATATACATTTTTATGCCACTTTCTTTTTTTTTTATTTTAGTTGTAATGGACTATTCCGGAGTGTCAATCAAACTTAGGTAACTGACCAGTCATAACAGGGCTTGTCTAACAAGCGCACCTGTTGTCCCACAAACAAACAGTTAACACTTAGTGGGACCTTAGCTACAATATACAAGGGGCGGGGCTTAGCGGAAAGGTCCATTAAATTTTGTCCATGAATTTTATCAATATGATAATCTTTTCTGTTAATGCAGGATTTTGACTGCAATCAAGATCAAATGAACAACCGTAGACAACTCTTCAGTATTTCTAAGCTGTCTTCAGATACAAACATCTTAGAAATTTCAAAGTACATTCGTCAACAGCAATCCAGAAGACAAGACCGATAATTTATTTGAATGTTTTAGAAATATTATAGTTGGTTTTACTTTTAAGGTCTTTTAAGATTCCCAATAGATAATATCTGTGTAAATGTTTAGAATAGTATAATAAAAGTGCAATAATAATGTTATAGTTCTGATAATTATAATTACTGCTATTATCATTTTTAAGATTATTATTTAATGATTATCTTGCTAATGTAGTCTCATAAATTGGGCACAGTAAATGCATTACAGAGGGTGTTTTTATCATAATTTTATTAAATTTGCTTTAATAATCCTGAACACTCATTAAAAATGAAAACATCCAGGGTTCTCCATCCTTGATTTGGTCTGAAGCAGCGGAACCTTATTCCAAAGTGTGTCATTGCGGTTTTCAGTTTTAATATGCTTGAACATTTTTTTTTATTTGCAAGAGTACATTTTTCTATGAATAGAATGGTTTATTTGAATAGTGTCTTTAGAATATAAATTAGTTCCTAATTTTGCGTTCACACGTTTAATTAGTTTGGTGTAAGGTATTCAGCCTGTATATGATCACGTTATAGTTTATGATTATATTTGTGCATCTGATTTGTCAATACTTTAGATGTATGCATACTATAAAACTGTATAGTGCAATATAAAAATATTTGTGATTCAATATGAATAATACAATATAGACCTGCCAATCGTCTTTTTTGAAAAGATGTTAAATCCTGTGCAATTTTTCTTAAATATGAAAATAGAAAAGATATATTTATATATAAGAAGAAGCAATACGTTTTAACACGTTTATTTATAATTAACAAATGGTCAACTAAATAATATTGTATAATTTTAATGATTAAATGATTTATAAAAATTATTACCAATGCCTTCCATGTGAATATACACTGAAAATACTTTCATAGAATTCATAAAATAGTTGATATGTTTCTGATTAAAATGGTTATGAACGTCGAATTCCTCAAACGTCGTACAGTACTTTCGTTTACAATCCCTGAGCAAACAGTATAAGTTCAGGAAAGATGCGTCTAACTTTGTAAATGATACCAATATTGCGATTTTATTTGAAGTGTGTGTGTGTGTGTGTGCTTTCTTCTAAAATTGATTAGTTCATAGATCATATTTCAGTTTGTTATTATTTACCCCAAAAAACACATCCGGAAGCGCAGTACGTCACTCGTTAATGACAAGTTGGAATGATGCTTTTAGATCGAGAGCGTCGTTCATGCGCATACGCATTCACATTCCTGTCGGAGTTTTCACTTTTTGCGAAGCGAAAAAAAATGCGCAGCCAATCAGGGCTCAGGAACCGAACCGACGCCTTCGATTCGTGCGAATAAATTCGCCTAGTGGAAAACAGGCTTTAGCACCGTACCTTGGATATTGTTAATAATTCCAAGCGTAAATTATTATACGTAAACAACGGCGTGCGTTTGTTAGACATCACGTGTTTTGTAGGACACACTCTCGTATTGCTGGCCCTGTTCTGATTGATCAGTTGTTACCGTATTGGTTTGTCCATTGGTCAGAGTCTCCTTATGGAAGTTACTCAATCATAATATACATACTTGGGAGTTATTTCAAGTTGACAATCGTGTAGGGCTAATATTGAAAGACAAATACTGTGAAGATCCAATAAAAAATACTCTTTAAACAAATTATCTCTAAATCATACATATAACGAATCGCAAAACACGATACTAATCAGGAAATCACATATTTTATATAATAATAATGCTTTAGATTCTTTGACTGATGAATACAGATATACCGTATTTTCATCCTACGTTAAAAGCAAGAAATTAGTCATTAAGGAATTTAGTCTAAGAGAAACAAATTAAAGAAAATATATGTTGAACATTCTGTTAGCACTGGATATATTAAATGAAAAAAAGGAAGTGTTCGTACACGTGCCTCTGCGTGAGGCTAAGTACATGCACAGATGAGGTTTCGTTTTTTTTATTCGTCTAAATTACATGTTATACTCATTCCATATGACATATCTTCAGAAATTGCGTCTCTCGCGTTTTATACACGTGCTTTTATTATATAAGGTAAATAGATCAAATTTCAATTTTTTTTACCGTCCTAACTGAATTTACTTTATCTCAATAATGTTGAGAGAATTTTCTTCGCAATTTTAAGACTCTATACTGTCTTAAAAAAAATAACAGTATATTGCCTAGGCTACTCGGAAATTCATTACTGTAAATAAACAAGAACAAACAAATAGATTTAAAATGGATTTGTCATTTTCTGACAATGCATAATCATAGAGTTTTATAATACATAATTTAGATTCACTAACAATAATGATAAGTTATAAATATTAAACAGGTTTATTTTATACTTTTTTTAAAAATCAATAACACATAGGTCAAAAACAAGCATAAACTTTCCCCATAGAAACTGATTTTTAGATCAAATTGTACTTATAAAACTAAAGTATACTCCTAAAATCACAAGTCTATATTTTAGTCTAAATCTGAAGACTTTTTACAACATTTTTAAATGAAAAACGTCTGGTTTGCCAAAAAAATCTTTAATATTGGTAATAATCTAATTGAAGTTAAAGCTGGTAATTTTAACTTCCTTATTCTTTTGCTAATACTGGATTAGAACTTGCATTTTAGATAAAAACTACCGATATCAGAAATCGAAATTGTTGACATCGGTATAAAAAATCGACAAGTCTAAAATTGGATAGCTATATTAGGGAGTTTCGCAAGCTTACGAAAGCGAATACGTCATCAATGTTTAAACAACCCTTCCCCTGCAGTAGCATAATTGCCACATTTCAGTGGTGGCGCCAAGACCTGCCCGACGGAGGGACTAAAGGCCCCGACGGGGGGGGGGGGCTAGTGGAGCGAATCGAGGCTGGGGGGCAGGGGTATTTGATGAATTATAGCGAATTTTTATTACTTATTTGATAGGCATCGAGTTACTATAATATGACTTCATGTAGGCTATGCTTTCTAATGTTGAAAACAGCTTCCAAAAAACCAAAACATTTTGGATAAAGCAAGAAACAAAGAGTATGCAATGTAACCATCTAATTTATTTTCAAATCCTCATTCTTGAAAGTGAAATTCTATATTTTGGAAATTTTGCACGAAATCTGTCAACCACGCTGTCATGGTCAAAGTTGCTTCACCTATCACGATGTATTCCAACCATCATGAGGCTATCTAAATGAGCATTTGTCATAACAGAACGCAAATTATTTTTAATTAGTCTCATTGAATTATTATTATTATTGTTATTGTTATTATTGTTGTTGTTGTGATGAAAAGTTAACACAAACAATATGGTGGCTAAACAAATATTACATGTAAATTTTTTTTTTTTTATTTGTTTGTTCCCCGACAAAATGTATCGTCTTCCCCGACGGGGGCTATGCTTCCCCGACGGGGGGTGGGCTATAGCCCCTCTGGCGCCACCACTGCCACATTTATGACAATCTTAGAAGTAAACTTTACACAAATTTATTATTCTTTGAAAATATGTCAAAAAATGAAAAATTCATATATACATGGGAGCCAACGAGTTCGATGTTTGAAGCCGGTGATGGAGTATGTACGGTCAGCGTTCGGCAGGCGCGCTGCTCAGTTCTGCTGAGAGATAAACCTTTGTAACGTACTGGCGTGATACTCAACTTGACACTAGAAAATTTAAAATAGGGCCTACTGTAATTTTGAATTTTGATAGGCTTGCCGTAAAACTGTTGCTAAATGGTTTACTTTACGCATCTTGTTATTTTGTATATACTTTATGTGTGATTTTGCTTTGTTTGTAATTCTGTTGTTTGTATTTCTGTCTTGATTTATACCTTTATGTTAATTTGAATATCAATCAAGTATATCCGTCACAACGTAGGCAATTCATGCCTTTTGCAGGACTCGAGGATGTTTGAGAATTTAATGTTTGAAGCACGAATGACTACAATGATAATGACGTAATTCGTATTCCTCATCGTTTTCTTAATTGGAATTTTAAATAAGTATAAAATCTTCTACTAAATATTCTTAGAATTATATGTTCATCTATTTTATCTCATATCAATTATGGAATAAAGACCAAGCCTTTCAAATTACATGCACAGATGAGGTTTCGTTTTTTATTCGTCTAAATTACATATTATGTCCTCATTCCATATGGCATATCATCGTGCGTCTCTCACGTTTTATACACGTGCTTTTATTCTATAAGGTAAATAGATTAAATTTCAATTTTTTTTACCGTCCTAACTGAATTTATTTTATCTAAATAATGTTGAGAGAATTTTCTTCGCAGTTTTAAGACTCTATACCGTCTTGAAAAAAATAACAGTTGTCATTTACCGTACTTAATATATATTGCCTAGGCTACTCGGAAATTCATTACTGTAAATAAACAAGAACAAACAAATAGATTTAAAATGGATTTGTCATTTTCTGACAATGCATAATCACAGAGTTTTATAATACATAATTTAGATTCACTAACAATAATGATAAGTTATAAATATTAAACAGGTTTATTTTATACTTTTTTTTAAATCAATAACACATAGGTAAAAAACAAGCATGAACTTTCCCCATAGAAACTGATTTTTAGATCAAATTGTACTTATAAAACTAAAGTATACTCCTAAAATCACAAGTCTATATTTTAGTCTAAATCTGAAGACTTTTTACAACATTTTTAAATGAAAAACGTCTGGTTTGCCAATAAAATCTTTAATATTGGTAATAATCTAATTGAAGTTAAAGCTGGTAATTTTAACTTCCTTATTCTTTTGCTAATACTGGATTAGAACTTGCATTTTAGATAAAAACTACCGATATCAGAAATCGAAATTGTTGACATCGGTATAAAAAACTGGATATTTGATGAATTATGGCGAATTTTTATTACTTATTTGATAGGCATCGAGTTACTATAATATGACTTCATGTAGGCTATGCTTTCTAATGTTGAAAACAGCTTCCAAAAAACCAAAACATTTTGAATAAAGCAAGAAACAAAGAGTATGCAATGTAACCATCTAATTTATTTTCAAATCTCATTCTTGAAAGTGAAATTCTATATTTTGGAAATTTTGCACGAAATCTGTCAACCACGCTGTCATGGTCAAGGTTGCTTCACCTATCACGATGTATTCCAACCATCATGAGGCTATCTAAATGAGCATTTGTCATAACAGAACGCAAATTATTTTTTAATTAGTCTCATTGAATTATTATTATTATTATTGTTGTTGTTGTGATGAAAAGTTAACACAAACAATATGGTGGCTAAACAAATATTACATGTAAATATTTTTTTTTATTTGTTTGTTCCCCGACAAAATGTATCGTCTTCCCCGACGGGGGCTATGCTTCCCCGACGGGGGGGTGGGCTATAGCCCCTCTGGCGCCACCACTGCCACATTTATGACAATCTAAGAAGTAAACTTTACACAAATTTATTATTCTTTGAAAATATGTCAAAAAATGAAAAATTCATATATACATGGGAGCTAACGAGTTCGATGTTTGAAGCCAGTGATGGAGTATGTACAGTCAGCGTTCGACAGGCGCACTGCTCAGTTCTGCTGAGAGATAAACCTTTGTAACGTACTGGCGTGATACTCAACTTGACACTAGAAAATTTAAAATAGGGCCTACTGTAATTTTGAATTTTGATAGGCTTGCCGTAAAACTGTTGCTAAATGGTTTACTTTACGCATCTTATTATTTTGTATATACTTTATGTGTGATTTTTCTTTGTTTGTAACTCTGTTGTTTGTATTTCTGTCTTGATTATACCTTTATGTTAATTTGAATATCAATAAAGTATATCCGTCACAAAATTTGAGCATTTAATGTTTGAAGCACGAATGACTATAATGATAATGACGTAATTCGTATTCCTCATCGTTTTCTTAATTGGAATTTTAAATAAGTATAAAATCTTCTACTAAATATTCTTAGAATTATATGTTCATCTATTTTATCTCATATCAATTATGGAATAAAGGCCAGGCCTTTCAAATTACAGAAAGCTGTTATTACAAACATCTTAATCAGTGGTGTATGACGCCCCCTTTCTTAGAATGGAGCTAAAGATATATAAACCATTGGAAACGTATTTTGTTTGCTTTGTCTTTCATTAGAAGTTAAGTCCGTCACCAAATAAGACGTTACAGATAGACCTATTTGGATAGCAGGTAATACAATAATATCCTATGTTTGAGCGCTTAGAAGTGGTATTCGAAATCTTTCAATAATCACTAAAACCAGTGTTGTAAGCGATCACGGGCACGTACCTTAAGCTATTTAATGGCAGGGAGTCAGGACCTGGTAAAGGGAAGAGCCTCACCCCCTTCGTTTTTGTCGTGTTACACTGATGTATCAATGTATTTAATTCTACTCCTTAAGCTGGGCACTCACTTCACTCAACGGTCGTCGGCCGACGCGATTCTACGGAGAACGCAACGCCAATGTTAATGACGATCCGTTCAGACCGCCACCGACAATCAGCAGACGGCGTCACGTTGACAACGCTCACGGGAAAGCGGTGTTGGATTCGTCGGCCGACGCGTCGGTCGTACGACGCAAGAGTGCCCGGCTTTAACGAGCCTCGTTCGGACATTTTGGGTTCATGGTCCTGGAAAACAAAACCATGGGGTAAGTCAGTGAGAGCCCTTAGGATTAGCCTACTTCACTGGACATGCAACAGTGACGATGAGTAAGATATTTTTGAAAACATTAGGTACATAGGAATAATTCGTCGACTCATTTTATTTTTATTTATAACTTCCAGAGACTCCCCCACCCCACCGGAGCGTTTCCACTGGTCCCCACCGGGGCCTAGGCTGCCCCCTTGCCAAAGCTTCCTTATTATTTAAACACAGAAATCGTCATTCATGCACCAACACACGGGAAAACACCTAAGGCCTACTACTTGATCAAATTCTATTTAAGCGCCATAAGTGCCATACCATTTAAGGGGAAACAATTCCATTGTTACAGGCCACAGCAGAACCCCCCCCCCCCCACCTTATACTGAGTGATTGGATCGTTATTGTTGAGTCTTAAGCCGGGCAGTCATTGCGTCGCCGACCTTCGGCCGACGAATCCAAATCTGCTCCCCTTAAACGACGGCTCGACGCCGTCTGCTGATTGACAGTGGTATCGGAATAGATCGCCATTAAAAACGATCCGTTGCGCACGCACACACACACACACACACACACACACACACTATCTGTATTATTCATAATAATAGCCAATGAGATTAAATAAAGTTTCTTTCGCCTTCGATTGTACCAACACATCAAGTTATATTTCGCTTTCCTTACGGCTTCGATGATTACATCCTTAGTGTTCCCATCTCGTGTAGCCTATGATTTTATGATACTAGTAATGATTATGATGATGATGAGGATGATGATGATGATGATGATAATGATGATGATGATGATGATAACAGCAATACAATAATCATATTAGTGATAAATGTGAATAAAAACATTTTAATGTGTTTCTTCACTTCAAAAAAAATTCTTCACTTCAAAAAGAAAGACCATGCACATTTCATCTAGTTTATGGGAAACGATTTATTTGTCAAAAATACCGTGCATCGATTTCTAATCCTCGTGGTAATCACATAAAATCTAAGATAGTACACTTATTTTTAATATTTAACGATGCGAATGACACTGGGTACGTAATTATGATAATGAGAATATCGAAAAAGAAACGAAAACATTGTCTAATTAACCGAACATACAGCCCCTCTCACACCTTTCCCACACACCAAAGACCCCTATCCACAACTCAACGACTACGAGTACTGTCCCCTTCAGATGATGTAATAGGCCCTATACTATATTATTATAAATGCATGTGTATCATATACCGTAAACCCTGTATACACTGATAATTAAGGCTTGTTGGTATCACAGGCGAAACGTCGAATTTATAATTTTTTCTCCATGATATTTCTTCAATATAACCTTATTTCCATAGTATTATTGTACTTCTCATTATCTAATAACAATTCATTACGTTTCCTGTATTCCAATTGATTTTCTTCATGAGAAAATTACAATTAATTCAACAACATTAATATTAGGTAAATTTGAACAACGTTTAGAAACACAATATACATTAATTTTCTCATTATTTATTACCGTCATGACGCTACAGGGATCATAAACACAGCTAAACGTATCCTGCCAGCCATACTGCGTAACAATACGGCCACAAGCAAAACGCTCATAATGGAATACTATACAATAATTGAATATTTTAATATCATTCCGATAATCTTAATCATCATACAGTCTATCAACTACTGAATAACGGATTTTCTGTATAAATTAGGAAAAACTAACAGAAATTCAGTATGAAGTTCAGTAGCCTGAATAGTGCTAACTGACTGCTACAGTTTCATTCAAATTTCTATTAATTTTCTATAAGTTATTTGCACAAATTGTAGGCCTATGAGTCTAAACATGTTAACATGGTAATTAATCACTTTAGGTATTCATGGATAACACTCAATTTCAACAGGTAAATAATAATTGCAAAACCAGATATTTCTTGTTCGTAAAAAAAATAATAAAATAACATCATATTTTCCTTAATTTTCAATCAATCGCGAATCGTCTATTCTATGCATTGTAGAGCCGTTTATACTTAACAAAATATATAAAGTGTGTTATCATCCCAGGCCTACGAGGTAAACATCTAAAACATTTCCAAATCTATCTAGTGTATGTACAACTTAATTCCTGAAAGTATCACACTAAATTTAAAATCAATTGTGATAACGTTTTTATACATATTATTGCACTCTTAACTCCCAAACGGCCTTTTATCATCTGCTTCGAATTGCAGACAAATGTCTTCATAATATTAATTAGTTAAAGAACACTAACAATACAGTGACAAGAGGGTACACTTTAAAATCACGTGGTTCTTGTATCTAGGTAAAAATCTAATATCTATATAAAAATGATATTTACAACAAAATTACAATTAGAGGCCTACACGTAATTCGTCACAGTTGGCCAAATACTCTGTGACGTCATCAGAACTAGAACGCGGTGATGACAAAATCGGAGCAATGATTCAAGAACATTCTATAACCAGTGAACAGTTTCAGAATATGTATATAATCATAGGCCTATATCATATACAAAGTTTTTTTTTCATTTTTAAACTTACTGTATTTCCGGTCTCATAGTTTGATGCACTGTGAATTCTTTTGCCAGTTCTGTCTGGGACAATATTGCATATTCTAGCCCTTGATTGATTGATTAAAACAATGTGCGAAATTAATTATCCCATATTTCACTTTACCTATTAAATAAAGGAGCGGATTCAGAATTTTTTTAACGAGAGGAGCACTAATTTTATATATGGTCTATATGTGTATTTATACCGTCACAGATAAATAAGTATCCAATAATGTCAGTATATGCATAGAGAAAATAGAACAGATTCTATTTTCTCTATGGTATATGCTGATACAAAATATTGAATTGTAACATTTAGTATTTATGTATGCCATTTTGTATTTTTTCTGTTTAAAAAATAAAAGAGGGCTGTGGCAAAACCGGGAGGAACGTGTGCCCACCCCATCCCCACCCCGTACCCCTCCCTAAATCCTCCCCTGGTTCAACATAATGCTCTCTGGACATGTGACAAGCTAAACAAACTTGAAAAATATGAAACAGACAAAACATATAATCAGAAGTTCTTATGTTTTAAATTCGTAAATTGGCTGATACTCAATTTAAATATTCTTGTAGTGGAACACATGTAAATCCATAAAAACAATATTTTTATCTTTATATTATTGAAAGTATATTAACTCCTTTTAAATAAACAATTATTTTAAATTAAATTTTTGAGGGTGTTTTCATATTTTCTACCTCAAAGCCTATATTTTTTTAACTAAGCGTATTGTTAATTGCTTACTCTTCGTTCATTTTGAATACATCCAACCCATTTTCTTGATCCTTCTCATCTTCGCATCTTTCTGAAGTTCAGCCATTGAATGGATGCTTCGTTTTAATAAGCTCGGATCTTCTACCATGCGACGAACACGTTTGTTACCCAGTACATCGTGAAGCGTCTTCAATGAATCCAGTCTTTTGACACGATTCAATTCCGGCAATTCCGTTTCTACGGCTACCTCTTCCATTCGTTTCTCCCTCAACAAACCCTCACTATCTTCCCGCCTTTTTCTGTTTTGTTCATCATTCTAAAATAATTTAAAAAAAAGAAAGAAAAAATACAAATTAAGTCATCGGATATTGTGTATATTGTCACATGATATTAGGCCTTATGTAAATATTTATTGTTAAAGCAGTTTACATTAACAAACTACCAGAAGCTATGTTGCAAGAATCGGTAATCAATTTTCTTTATTAAATTAAACTTATTCATTACAAATATATATGTATGATCCCTGTCTCTTATACACATCTAGATGTGTATAAGAGACAGGGATTCAAGCCTCCCCCTCCCCCCCTAAATTTTTCAAGGTTATTGAGGTGGTGTAGATCCTCCATTTGTGAAAGTTCCTCTTTGGACCCCCTCTATTTTGAAACCCTGGACCCACCCCACCTGTATTGTGTTAGGAAGTAACATTAACACAAGTTGCAGCGGCAGCGTTTTGCAAAGTTTTTATAATGTAAATTGTTAGCTGGGCTTGCTCCCAACCACCCCCACCACCGCGGGAGCTCATTCTCTGATCGCACCAGGCTAGTAGAGCGTTCCATAGACCATTAGCTATCTGAGAAGCCCACTAGAATTCTGATTAAGAGCCTGTTATTGTACCTTACATTAACAAATATAGCCTATGCCCAGATATAATCATGTAAATTATTTCGTTTTCTCAACGGCAGAATAAGACGTATACAAAGAAAAACGAAAAGTACACGAATTTAAGTTAATAAGCATTCCGTTTCGATGCTTGTTCTGACCTAAAAGCAAGTTCCAGACAATTTTATCATTTCCACAGACAACCAGGGTTCATTGGGTCCTAGTTTGATGTCTTTGTTCAACATCATATATTTCCTTCCAATCCAACAGCAAACAAGTTCCAGACAATTTTATAATTTCCACAGACAACCAGGGTTCCTTGGGTCCTAGTTTGTCTTTGTTCAACATCATATATTTCCTTCCAATCCAACAGCAACACTCGCCACTTACAGGATGGAGTGATGCTTTTAAAGCATGTCTCTTTATGAAAACCTCGGGAGTGGAGTTGTTTTTAGTTGTGAGAAAAATTAAATTCACAGGTGACGGGAATTGAACCCAAGACCCTGGGATTAGAAGGCAAGCATCTAAACCACTAAGCTTTAATCCAACTCTACTTCATTAGGCTCTATCGATATATTTTCATTGTTGTGATCGATCGGTCTACATTTAAAAAAAAACAGTACTAACAAAGCTTACCCATGATTGTAGTGCTAATAAATCCCACTTGCGCCGAGCTATTATTATCTAAACCGCATTTTTAACGAAATCGGCAAAGGTATCCTTTCACAAAAATCATTGTCTTTTTAGAACAGATAATTAAAATTGTGATATTAGAAACGCGCCCTTGTTCTCAGTCACCTTTCACTTGTCGGCAAGAATCCAGATTCATTATGGATCTTGATCTAGGTTATGGATTAACGCATGATCATTTCTTATGCCCAACTAGCATTTATGCACCAGGCTTATACAGCATACTCGAATATTAATGAGTTTGATTTATATATCAGGGGTCTATACAACGGTCTATTATATGATGAGTCATTCGATGTGGAAATTTGGTAATAGAATGACAAATGTTTAGACTTATAATAATCATTTTTTCCATATAGGCCTACCGTATCTAGTCTTGCATTTAGATTTATTATAATCATAACATTTAAAGACATTTTATTATTACCTGTTTATGATGGACGATTCGCGCATGTGTTGAATTGAATAAGCGTGTGCGTTTTTTGTTATAATGTGGTAAAAAATAATTATAACGAAGAACAACATTTTTATATATTATATTGTAGTCTACATGCCTCGTAGTTGTCATAATTTTGTTTCAACGCCTGATATAAAATGTGTGCATTTAGAATTAATGATATAATAATTATTACAGGCCTATCGTGGCTTGGAAACAACAAATTTAAACGCTTGGCCTAAGGATTCCAAGACTAGGCTAAAAAGACACAATGCAACATTCCAAACATAAGAAAATATAAATTTGTAAAATTTATTTAAACACACTCAAATCGTATGTGGATATAGGCCGATCCCCATGTAAATATAATGATCTCTGGTTTTGCACAAAACTACCTGCACGATTCAGTAAATTATGATATAAAAAATATAGAATAATACATACCAAATTATCGGCTTGAATTGTCACTAAAATAATAACGAAACTGTAAGGGAGGAGCAATCTAGATAAAATCATGATGAATTCTGCACGACGATAGAATCAAGTACCGTATTTCGTTATTTCTGTTGCGTCTGTTCGGCGTTCGCATGACGAGTTTAAGTCTCTCTGATCAGTTTGTGTGCAAACGGCTGTATTTAATTACTTTTCGTAAATGAGATGCTGCAACGTACAAAGCATCTAATAGATCGTTGCCATGGTATCCGGCAAGAGCTGAACTTGTTAGCTTGTTAAGAATAATTTATGCATGTGGTGATGATAATGATGTGGCGTATGTCAGTTGTTAGCTCAGTCAATATTAACGAGACGAACATCACATGATCAGCAACGTGTTTATAAATTATTAACAGGGCATTTTTGTAATAATTGATATTTCTTTAAAACTGACGTTAAGTCCCTCTGTCGAATTTGACCGGAATGTCTTGGCTTTGAATCCCGATGTAGACAAGGCCTATCGATTTTCTCAAAATGATTATTATCGTCTTTGTATATCACTGCTTGAATGTGTTTCTTCATACTAAAGTTGCCACCATGTGAGTTATCGATTATTCATTGCGTGCGCAATATATGTACCTTTCAGAGAAAATGTGTCCAGGGGCGGACTAAGGGGAGACGGGTGGTCCCCCCCCCCCCCGGAAAGTAAAAAAGAAAGAAAATAAAGCCCAAAACGCTTCAGAGGTTATTTCCGAGCGTCCGTAGAGACCAACAATTCCCCGGACCCACAGGATAGTGTTGTCTCTCAGTTGCCCCACCCCCTTTTTGGACATCTCTGGATCCGCCCCTGGTGTCCTGATGGGAAATTCCCCGTGGCCTGCTCAGTTGCTAGCCGAACGTAGAAGGTATTTGAATGATTTCTCAATCGGTGGTATCTAATTGGATGGATTCTCAAGCGGTGGTATCTAGAGGGACTGAGCAAAAAAAACTCGCGTCCCCGGCCCAGACAAAAGAATCACGCCCAGGTAGATCAAAAAAATCACCTTATTTTGCCAGCTAGCTCCCCTCACTTAATAATCGAGCCCCTCCACTACTTCGCCTTCGACGCTCATCGGACCTCTCCCCCCCCCCCATTTCCAGACAGACCCCTGATAGCCAGGGCCAGGAGGTACAAGTTTCTGTTGTAGCCACATGAAACTATAGTACGGTATTCTAGCATATAAATGGAAAATTCATATTATTTGTCTATTCATTGCGTATTACCATACACACTGCCTTGAGAAAAACAAAATGTGTCCAGGGAGAATCCACAATGTACCTCTTAGCCGCGCCTCAGTTTGGTAAATGTGTAAAAGTTAGGAGGCAATGTCCTAGGGATCCCCCTTGTTCATTTTTACAATTTTCGGACCATTGAGTTCGACTTCTAAAAATAAATATTGCTGCACCAGTACTGCCGTCATGGTAACTGCATACAAAAATGGCATAAAACGCACAGTCTCCGTATAACGGGATCATAAAAACCGTAACACACAGTAGGCCTAAATACAAACGCAACAACAAAGCCGCAACCGGATGTATGGATTCCTAGCGTTAAAGCAGTTTACATTAACAAACTACCAGAAGCTATGTTGCAAGAATCGGTAATCAATTTTCTTTATTAAATTAAACTTATTCATTACAAATATATATGTATGATCCCTAACTTTTATCGGAAATTGCGATTTTAAAATAATTAAGTTTGAAACACAAGAGGACGCTATATCTGTCTTAATTCCTGCTTAATTCCAACCATCTCCGTTTGAGATTCCGATAACGCAACAGGCTAAACGCATACCGGCGTTTCCTGACGTTCGACTTCCATCATCGTCTTCAACTCCCAAGTCGTCTCTTCCCATATGAATCTACAACAAAAAATAGAACAGAACTGTAAATAATTACAATACTTTAATGGCGATACTGGTTCGGTGTGGCGCCAGCCCGGTCGGGAAGAAATACAATTTGCCATAGTTTTTTGGAGGCTTCGCACCCGAAAACCACTTCCGAAAGATTTTCAACGACGGCTGAACGCCCACTTTGCTCTCCTCCCCCCCCCCCTCCCGTCTTACCACTGTATTGGTTAGTGATAATTAACAATTTAAAAAAAAATATTTATTAGATATTGTTCACCATAGTATCCATGATCTAGCTTAATTAATTTGTTATCTAGTATTAGTTATTTATTTTAAACAAAACAATGACAAATTGAGTTGCAACAAGGACATTTCTAGGCTCTGCTAGAAACTACAGAACATAACCTTATTTTCGTAGGAACTCTTAAATTATCGTTTTTGTGTCTATCATCTCACATGTAGGTTGTGAAATTAATCCGGTTGGTGCAATGATGGGATGCATCATAAGCTTATACAATCGTCTTCGCTTAAGCCTACGAAGTAATATGATAACATGCCTAGATAAAACCTGTCCTAGAAAGAACTAAAAAGTCAACAATCTGTTATTTGTACAGTTATTCAAGTGAATTGCCAACACAGAAAGCGTAGATGGGTTATGAGTTAAAATCTATGGAACGCCAAAAGGACAAAATACAATTGGCAGCAGTGCAAAACTGAGAGTCAGCAGCGCCAAACTGAGAGTCACCAGTGCAAAACTGAGAGTCACCAGTGCAAAACTGAGAGTCACCAGTGCAAAACACAGAGTCACAGTGCAAAACACAGAGTCACAGTGCAAAAAAAAAAAAAAAAAAAAAAAAAAAAAAAAAAAATCAGCCACTAAACTAAATAATCTATGTCAAGCAGTAGATACACGCTCGCGCTGGGAGCCTATTTTTAGGGTAGTGCATTTTGACAGAATTGTTAAATAAAAAAATCTTACCACAATTCCTCTCCCGACGATTGAGGCTGGTCCCGTCAGTTTAGCTAAGTAATCTTTCATATTGATATCAATAGTTCCACTGCCGCTTACATCAATGTTACCCCAGTCTCCTACGTGCCTATGTATTTTTTAAATGAGGAAATTTTGATAATATTCAAATTAAGTTGCTTGCTTAGCACTTGGCACATAAATATGTATCAGATAGATAATAATAAGTACTCAAATATATAGGAACAAGGTTTTATCAAACATAGTTCATCAACTGAAGTTCATAGCTGTATGAAAAAAGAGGTCTCTGGTGGGAATCGAACGATCTAAGACCACTCTCTCCCCTTCATTGAGGCCCACCCATAGTGGAGCAGTCTATATCGGCTGGTAAATTATAGGAAATAATATTCAAATCAAGTTTTTAATATGAGAGCTGTATTATTATCTATTCTTATACACATCT